TGGGCTAAATCATTTCTGCAATACTCGCCAGGAAAAAGCCTTTGGGAGCAAGAACGCAGACACTTGGGAGCAGTCATGGGTGTGGCACTTGCTTATTTTTTAAATGGAGCTCTTAACTTCATTTTCCTCAGGGTTTTCCCACATTTCATTTTTTTGTTTGTTTTGGGGTGTTTTAGGCGTTTTTTGCCTTAGGGTGCAAGCGTTTGCTGGGGAGAGAGACAAGGAAAGTGAGAATCACCCCCTAGGGGGAATGGCCACACTGCAATCCCTTCTCCATTCTCCCTAGATCTTGGGAACACACACACATCTGGCACACAACACCTCATTTGTGACTATGTTTGAGACAGTCACAAAAGGAGGGGGACATTAGAATTTGTGGACTTACAAATAACAAAAGCTAAAGCAAAACTCAATAGCTAGTGGCCTGGGACCAGCAGTTAGCATAATGGCTGTCGGTGGACTCCTATGTAGTCCGCTGCAGTTCGAGTCCTGGACTCAGTGGCTTAAACTCACGCTGGGCACATGTATGTGCACATGCCCAAGATCCTGAGAGGAGAATGGAAAGGGGATTGCGGCGTGGCCATCCCCCCTGGGGGGGTGACTTCTCACTTTCTGTCTCTCTGTCTCTGGTCTTTCTGGTGAGCGCACACACCCTGTAGCAAAATCTCTCAAAAAAAAAAAAAAGTCTCGTGGCCTGTCCTTGGCACAGGCGGTAGCGTGCACAACTGCAGGGCTGATAGCCATGTGGCCAGCCACGAGTTCAGATCCCAGTCCACCTGGAACACACTGGTTTGTGCACGATGGCACCTGTGAGCCAACAAGCTGGAGGGCCGGGGAGAGGAGATGGTGGCATGACCAGACCTGATAGAGGGTGCCTGTCTCCTCTCTCTGGCATTCTCTATCAAATAAAACCAGTTTAAAATATATATAGCTAAAAGAATTGTATCAGCTCATGACACCAAAGTCCACAGGCGGTTCTGACTTCAGGTTTGGCAGGACCCAAAGGCTTCCATGATTCATCAGAACCTGGTCTCTGTCCTGGCTGTTTTCTCTGAGTTGGGGCTTATCTGAGGAGTTCAATGTCAGTGGAGAGTTTCTGCATCCTCATAGTTGAAGTAAAAGTCCCAGGGCAGGCTCTCATTGGCCAAGATTGGGTCATGTGCCTACCCCTGAACCAATCACCTTTGCCAGGGTGGGTGAAATGTTCTGATTGGCCAGGGCTGAAACGTGTCCTCTTGGGGGTGGGATCAACCCTTCCTAAACCACAGAAAGGAGGGAGGTTCTTAGAAGAAAATTAAGTGGATGTTCGGAGGGATGGGCAGCCAAATTCTTCAAAGGAGCCAGGCGAGCAGCCTCAGGGCTGTTCCTGTTGCTGTTCCCATACCCTACCAACCTGGTTCAGTTCCTCTGGAGCTGGCAAAAAGAAACCTCAGCTTGGGACCAGCAGTTAGTGTAATGGCTATGTCGCTGGACTCCCATGTAGTCAACTGCAGTTCGCGTCCCGGACCCGGTGGCTTAAAACTCACGCCGGGCGTGCCTAAGATCCTGAGAGGAGAATAGAGAAGGGATTGCAGCGTGGCCATCCCCCCTGTGGGGAGATTTCTCACTTTCTGTCTCTCTCTGTCTGGCGAGCGCACACGCCCTATAGCAAAAACCTCTCCAAAAAAAAAAAAGAAACCTCAGCCTGAGTCCCAAGAAGTAAAATGACTCGCCCAAGTTCCCACAACTAGTAGAGACAGACCCAGGCCTCTAACTCAGACCACCTCGCTTCTGAATGTTGGGGACTAGAAGAATACTTTCCAAACCTAGAAGGAAGTATGTTTGGCATCAGGTCTGAGAGTTTGCGGGCCACTCGTGAGCTCAGGGGCTTTGAGGGCCGGAGGGGGGATACTAATTAGCATTTATTGAGCACTGGGCAGAGAACTCCGGCACTGGTCCCATAAGTCGTCTCTGTAGCTCTGAGAAATGAATATGCTTAGCACCATCCACAAGTGGGGAAACCGAGGCACGGGGTCATGTGTCATGCCAAAGGTCATACAGCTGGTAGGAGGCAGAACTAGGACTTGAACCAGGTCTGCCCTGGGGCCCTTGTGCTTTAACACTGACTTGCCTCCCCAGTGAAGGGAGGGAGGTGAGGCAGGTGCAAGTGAGAAAGGAGTCTACTGTAAGGGAACAGCAGCTGAAACTGGAAATGGAATGCTCTGGAGATACCAGGCCCCATGGGCCCTGCTACTCCCATCAAAAGGAAGTAGAAATCCAAATTTTTAAATGCTTGCTCCATGTTTTAAACATACCACGGACAAAATAAAATCCCGCAGAACATGGACCTGCTTCTGCCAGCAACCTCCCAGCTAGTCCCGGGCGGCTTGGTTTTAGGAGGGTGGTGCTGCTATCTGGTGGCAGAGTAGGGTAGGTGACATGTAGGGCAGACGGGTATCCAGCTCAGCTGGAGATGTCACACGTCGTCCTCTGAGCTTGCTTCTCTTTGGGGAGTCTTGGGTACCTGGCCCCTGGTTCCTAACCCAGCTCTAACCTCACTCCCATTTGATAAGCCTAAAAGTTTCAAACAATCCTTAACCATAGTTTTGTAATAAGTAATGCCTGCATGAGGTGAAGAATAAGAATTAAACAATACAGGCCAGCAGGAGGTATGGTAGTTAAGGTGGTGGGAGTACCACATGGCCGACCACAGTTCAAGTCCTAGACCTGGCGGCTTGAAACTCATGCCAGGTGCATGTGCGTGCCTGCCCAAAATCCCAGGAGAAGAACAGAGAAGGGACTGTGTGGTGGCCATCCCCCCGAGGGGGTGATTTCTCACTTTCCCACTCATTGTCTCTCTCTCTCTCCAACAAGCCATGTGCTCTATGGCAAAAACCTAAAAAGAGGGACCAGCAGGTGGTATGGTGGTTAGGGTGCTGGGCACTCCCACATGGCTGACCACGGTTCAAGTCCTGGACCTGGTGGCTTGGTTTCTTTCTCTCTCTCTCTGGACAAATTAAAATAAATGAATGAATAAATAAATAATTACAAAAAACCTAAAAGAAAAACAATACAAAAGGGGACAGTGGCCAGAATCATTCCACCTGTGGTTTGTTCTAGGGCCTGTCATCTTCTTTCTTTTTTTTTCCTTTTAGAATTTTTGTTATAGGGTGTATGAGCTCATTGGAGAAAGAGCGATACAAAAAGAACCAAAGCAAGAAATCATCCTGGGGCAGGGGTGGAGTGCGGATGGTCATGTCACAGTCCCTTCTCCTCTAGGGATTTGGGGCATGCATGCACAAGTGCCCAGCATGGTTTTCAGGCTCTGAGGAGGCCATGTGGGCTCCAGCACGGTGACCACCATGCCACCTGCTGACCACAGGGGAGCATTTTATTAACACTGGCGGTGAAGGGGAGCGGGGCACAGGGGGATGAATATTTCCCAATATGGGAAAACCAAATCTCAGTGTTGGGTGCACAACCACGCCCCTTCATTTACATACCGCCAATGGCTGCTTTGGAGTGGCAACCCCAGAACTGAGTACAACTGCCAGGTCAAAGAGCCTGCAAAGCCTACAGGAGTTGCAGAGATTAGATGAATTAATATCTGCAAAATGCTGTTCGTGTTTAATTATCTGACCCTCTGCTGAAAAAGGTTGCAACTCCTGATCTTAGAGTGAAGCAAAGTTGCTCCCTGATTCACGTTCCTTCCCCCAAGCCCTCTATTCTCCTTAGAGGTCATCATCGCAGCAAGACCCTTGTAGACCCTTGTGTGTCCCCTATACCACCATGGGGTGTGTCTGCCCACCCTACAGTAGCACACAGCTCTGCACCTTGCCTTCTTTTCTTTTAACATACTTCGGAGACAGTGTTATTATCAATGTTCTGGAAGCTTCCTTACTCTGTTTTACAGTTGCCCAACATTCCAACTTCAAGGTAAACACAATCTTTTTTT